TTTAACTGTATCGTGGTAGATTTAGTTATTTAAACGTTATTGCCACTCATTTAAAGTGGTGATATCAGGTTTCGTCACTATAATGCTACTTGGGAAGGGAGCGATATCAAGCTAGAAAAAGTGCAGGAAAAGTTAAATTAATAAATGATCTAAGTAATAGAGAAAAGAGGAATGTACGAAAGCAGTGAAAGGAAAGGAGCAGACGCGCATATCAGTTGAGGAAGTCTAAGAAAAACATAACCCAGACAGAAGAAAATACTCCACCTTCAACTCCACCACCTGTAGAAAGACTTTCGCAGGATAAAACTGGTTTATCGAGAAAATCGATTGTCAGAAAACAAATCGCAAGAAATAATAGAAAGCTATTGACAAATGAAATAGTTTTGCTGAAAGAAAAACTGACAAAAGCGGAAAAAAGAAATGACAAATATCGTAAGAAGATACATAGAATGAAGAAAATGGGTCCTAATAGTAAAAATAAAAGAGTTAATGAAATGCTAAAGGGGCAAGAAGTGACCCCACAAGTTAAAAAAACTTAGTGTTTGGTGAGGTGTTTTTTCATCAACAAAAGCATCTACACGAAAAAAGAAACTTTGTAAACTGTATTTCCTTAACCTCTCGACATTTGGTGCAGAAGAAAAGTCCTTCGAATATTCCGAAGAAGAGGAAGGATATGCTTTTACGAATAAAACGAACAGTACAGGCTTTTTATGAACAAGATGCGATTAGCAGAATGTGTTTTGTTTATTTCAAAGTCTACCTTTGACAGAGTTCACATTTGTACACCGATTTTTATAAAATTAGAGTATATTATTGAGGAGACTTAAAGAATACTTTTTAATACAGTTCACATCATTTGATATATATAGGGTGAGACAAAAATCGCTTATTTTTAATAAAGCAAAAGCGCAAATTCATGATTTTGGCCTAACACGCAAAAATGATTTATCCCCATTATTTTAGATATTTTTACTTTTATCAGGTTACAAAATGGCATTCTTATTAACCTTTTATAAAACGATAGATTTTTAATAAAATTAAATAAAATAACTAATAAATGATTATATAATCGTAAAATTGCCATGCAAAAAATTTTCGAGGCACTTCGTAGGATTTGTCCTGGAACTTAATGATGAATAACAAGTACGTTTTCCAGAAGGAGATTTCATATCAGTGGTTAATCCAAACGAGGTTATTTTAGTTTTACAAGAACCGAAATTGAACAGCAGGAGACAATATTCATTTGAATCATTATCCTGTCTTAAAGATTTATAAAAATTTTATATTCCGAAAATTCCGAAAAAATTTGTAATTTTTAGAAAAATTGACTTTTGCATTTTTTCGTATTACCCTTAAGGTTAATGCGGGTAAATGAATAACAAGTACGTTTTCCAGAAGGAGATTTCATATCAGTGGTTAATCCAAACGATGTTATTTTAGTTTTACAAGAACCGAAATTGAACAGCAGGAGACAATATTCATTTGAATCATTACCCTGTCTTAAAGATTTATAAAAATTTTATATTCCGAAAATTCCGAAAAAATTTGTAATTTTTAGAAAAATTGACTTTTGCATTTTTTCGTATTACCCTTAAGGTTAATGCGGGTAAATGTGATTACGGGGTAATTGTAAATATCAATTATATATTCCTGTGAAATCGTTAAACACAGCAGCAATCTGGTGGCCAGTATTCAAAATACAATATCTACTTGATCATAACGCCTTTACATAAATCTATGTTACCGACGTATTGTCCCCGAAATGTGAACGACAAAATTTAATTGTGTAATATGGGCTTTGCATCAGTGTCGTCGGTAGTTGTCAAATTTGATAATAGTTGTCAATTGCAAAATCAAAAATTCCACCCCACTTAATTGAGGCTCAGAGGTCCAGGACAATAGCCAAATTAAAATAAAATTGGTCTTTAAGTGAAGTGGCTGCAGATTTAAATATCAGTAAAAACTGCATATTTTATATCAAAAAACGTTGGCAAGACCAACAAAGATTATCAGGCAAGGTGTATGTAAAATCTCCAAAGAAAATGAAGTCAATGCTCTTGTCGCACATATTAGGCAAAATCCTTTTAATAGCGCAGTTAAGGTCCGAGAAGATACACAATTTCCAGGATATCTTTAACAGCTGGCTTAAAAAAACTGTGATACTGCTCATAATGTTTTTTTAACTGACGAAAATAAGCCCAGGAGAGTCCATCTAAATTATGGAGAGGGATTTTGGAATAATGTTAAAATTTCTGATGAAAAAACGTTCCAATCTTGCAATATTGGAAGGTGGCGTGTATATCCTCCAAGAGACGCAAGATTTGAGAATAACTACACATTAAGAACCTCAAATAGTGGACGCTTTTCCATAATTGTTTGGGAGTTGATAAGCGTCCATGGTGTGGGAATATGTTGGGAAATTGATGGTAGATTAACGGCTATACGACGATTTTGGACAACGTTATGCTACCTTCAGTTAGACATGTGTTTCCAGAAAATGTTATATTCCAACATATTAGAAATGTGTATAGTATACAAAAATAATTCTAATAATTCTAATAATATATATTATATTACAGGACAATGCACCAGTTCACACAGCTCGCGTGGTTACAGAGTGGGTAAACAACAACCACATAACTGTTTTGCCATGGCCAGCTAGAAGTCCTGTGTGGGGTTTTATAGTTAAAAAATTATATCAACGGGACTTTGGGCCAGCAAACCGAAATGATATAGGTACGCAATGCTATTGAAAATTCTTGGGAAGATCTTGATGAGTCATACAACATGCGTTACCTAATAATGTCCATGCCAAGAAGATTGCAAAGTGTTGTGGCAGCTAATGGCTCTGCAATTAAGTATTAAAATAGCTTATGAGCAGCATCACAATTTTTTAAGCCAGCAAACTGAAATGATCTACGGAATGCTGTTGAAAATTATTGGGAAGAGCTTGCAAAATGTTGTGGCAGCTAATGGCTCTGCAATTAAGTATTAAAATAGCTTATGAGCAGCAGCACAGTTTTTTAAGCCAGCAAACCGAAATGATCTACGGAATGCTGTTGAAAATTCTTGGGAAGAGCTTGCTGAGTAATACGACATGCGTTACCTAATAATGTCCATGCCAAGAAGATTGCAAAGTATTGTGGCAGCTAATGGTTCTGCAATTAAGTATTAAAATAGCTTATGAGCAGTAGCACAGTTTTTTAAGCCAGCAAACCGAAATGATCTACGGAATGTTGTTGAAAATTATTGGGAAGAGCTTAAGACATTTAAATCTGCAGCTATTTCACTTAAAGACCAATTTTCTTGAGCAATATGTTAAATTTGCTGTTATTTTTATTTGTTAATTACCTACTATTAATATTGCTGTACAAAACCAAATTAAAGTTAATTTATTTGCAATATTGTATATATTACTGTTTGTTAAAATATTATTAAAAAATATTCTTATTCTTAGTATTATCCCCTCTATTTGTAACACCACTGGCCGAAGCCAGGGATAAACGAATTAATTTTATGAAAAAAATCCATGACAACCAAAAATCGTTCACATTTCGAGGACGCCAATTGTACAGTGATCGCATAATAATTAACAACATCATTTCTAACCTAAAACTCAAGTTAAAGCCGGTATTTTTTATATTTTTATATATTTTTTATATTCTATAACTATTTATTTGTGTAAGCAAAATTAAGAAAACCTGGACAATTACCCTACTTACCTTATATAAAATGAAAAAAATTCAATGTTAATTTTTCTGAAAATTTCAAATTATTTCTGTTTTTCCCGGAAAAACGTTTTTTTGTTAATAATAATAAAGTTAAGATAATTAAGTATTGCACTTTTTAACAAAAATTTTATTTGTCAATTTCAGCTCTCTGTATAAAATAAACAACGTACTTACATGTAAGTACGTTGTTTATTTTGTTTCAGCCACAATCGTTTTTAGAGGCTTGTAGCCGAGTTTTTAAACTTAAATGCTTAATAACTCGAAAAGTTCCTATCGGAAAAAAATGTGTTAGTGTGGTAAAATTTGCATGACAAAATTTAAATAGAACGAAACATTTTAATATCACATTGCATAATGTTTAGATTTTGAATATTATGATTTAAGCCTAAACATTATTAGTTTGTTGTGCGACTAGTGTAATATAATATTTTATTCAACTATCCTAAGAAATTTAAAGCCAATTTTAATTGATATCTTAACAACAGTTTTAACCTCACTATTTTCAAATTTTAACTTAAAGCTAACTTCAGTCCGTGGGCGAAACAGCATTTCGCCCACGGGTTGAAGTTAAGAAATAAATAATCAGGGAATTCATTATTTCGACCACTCTTAGGGCCACGAAATTACATATTCCTTGCGGGTTTTGAATAAAATTGCAATTACAATTTTGACATTACGATTATCCAATCTGGTAGGTAGCATTTCGCCCAAGGGTTGAAGTTAAGAAATATATAATCGGAGAATTCATTATTTCGACCACTTTTAGGGTCAGGAAATTACATATTCCTTGCTGGACAATTACCAATGGTAGTGAAGTTTCAAAACGACAACTAACATTTAAGTAGTTTTTTTAAATTTATTGTTAAAAAATATTCATAAAGTTAATTTTAAAAGCAAAATCTATATTAAATATTTAATTTAGAATTGTCTGTTGAGAAAAGAATAAAGTTTTACCCAAATGCAAAAATATTTTTTCAAAAAAAGTATAATAGAAGATTGTTTAATGCAAAATGGCTTTTAATAGGCATGAATGCACTTTCAATTACCAAATTTAAAAACCAAATAATTTAACTGTTATTATAACAAATTTATTTTTAACAATTAAATTACTGTATATATTATAATAAGTAAAGTGGGTTTAAACGACAAGCAATTCTTGTTAAATTAATATGCACCAGGAATTAATGAAACAACATCCTTGCATTAGTAGAATGCTTTTTATGACGTTAAAACGTAATTAAATAAAAACATAATTGTCTTATTACTTACATCTTCTAATATAAAAGACCAATCCTTATCTTCCAGCTCGTTCGTTCTGGGGTCTTTGAATAACGTGATCGATACCTGATGGTTTTCTGGGACGGGCCAGACAACCAGCCCTTTAAAAGGATTTTGTAATGTGGGTTCCCAAGCCATGGGGGTGGAGACCACCCTTCGCGATCTCCGAGACCATACCAGTGATAATTTGTGGGGTTCCCTGCAAAATACAAAAAAAATAATTACAATTTATTTCTTAATATAATTATTATTATAAGACTGTAAGCGCTACCTAATTTGAAAAAAAAAGAAAATTAATTAATTAATTATTTTTTAGTACAAAATTTAAACCTTCTTTAAAGGTCTTTAATCCGAAATTGTCAACAAAAAATTTACATTCAATTATTCCCACTATTTATATGAATTCTATAAATGCCTAATTTTATAGTTTTGTTTTGTAATATAGTAAATATAGATGTTAGTCTCGACCAAAAAAAATCATAACAACGCGTGGAAGCATTATCTGATGCAAAAGAGTGCTATCCACCGACAATGTTTTCATATTGAAAGTTTGTACCTAATTAATTAAATAATATATTTTTAGGTTTTTAAGTTTGGTGCTAAATTACCTCTAAAAATTTTCCAGAGCAACTTAATATTAAACCGCGCGCGCGGAATTGTGTTCAGGCACTAACCAAGCCCACCTGAGCTACTTATAAAAACGAGTAAAAACTAATTAATGAGTTTAATATAACAACGGACGGGCAAATTTTTAAACGCAATTTAGCGCCGAGCTTTAAAAATAATAGCATTACAAACTTTTTGTATTTTTATTTTATCTAGGTAACGTTCAAAACGCGTTGTGGCTTTTCTTAATTACCACAACACGTCGAGGCTGTTTTTAAAAGTACCACGATACGAATTTCGCGTCGTGGTTGTTTTGATAATACCACAACGCGTTGAGGACCTTATTTTCGCCCAATGAGCGTTTTCGGTCTTTGAGCCTAACATGCTTAATTTGTATACATAGTTTATTTAATTTAATAACCTTAAATTTAACTTAATAAAATAAATTTAGGTACTTGTATACAATGAATGCAATGTAAAGAGCCTTCACTAAAGACTATTAAAATCAATTATTGATTTGTAAATTTAAAATAGATATATGTAGATCAACCTATTTCTAAGTTGCATGAAATGTAATAAAACCAATGAAACCGTGTATAAAATGCAATATCTAATGGAATCAAAATAAAAGATCATTTATAATCTTTTAAAACCTTTAAAACATTGACAAGCTTTGACTTTACGGCGTTAAAGTCACGGGCTGAAGTTAGCAACAGGTTTTTAGACATAGGCTGAAGTTAGCTTGGCGTGGCGTTGACAGTAATCAAATTTTATACAATCGTAAAAAAAACTGCTGGTCTTCTAAAATAATACTAAATGTAAAAATGATGTTATTATCTCAATACAAAAATACAACATTATTTGTTCACGCTAATCTTTAAAAGGTTTACATACACTTTTGTGCTGACCTTTTGATTTCGCCGGTAATACACTGGTATTTGCCGATAAAGCATTACAAATTTCGGGTAGAGTACCCATAACGCATCCTCTTTGCTTTCACTATAAAAAACTGCTTCGATATCGAATTTAAACGGTTGTTAGTCCATTTTAAGAGATTAATTTCGATCTTTATATAAAAATTTTATAACAAACTCGGCCATTTTGAAAGCCGGTAAAACAGACTCACAGGTTACTCTATTTTTGTAGGTATACACCTATGTCGCTTTATACAAATATTTAAATTAATTGATAATAAATTATTTTTTACACCTAATAATATTTGTCGTAATAAAAGTATAGTATGCAACTCGTTTATAAATTTTACACACTCGCTCGCAAGCTCGGTCGTGACTTATTAAAATTCGTGACTAAAATGGTGTTTATCAAACTCGATACATAAAATACAATTATTATGATTCCAATTGATTTCATATAAGTATATTATAATCTATCGAGGGATGGTTCACATGCCAAAAAATGTACACCTACTTCGAAGTACCTTATATATTTTAAAATACTTTTAGTACTCCAAGATACTTCTAGTACTCCGAGATACTTCTAGTACTCCGAGATACTTCTAGTACTCCGAGATACTTCTGATACTTCGAAGGTACTTTTAATACTTCATGTACTTCGAAGGTACTTTAAGTGCTTTGGGATTACTACAAACGAGCTTTGAGCACTTTGTAATTGTTAATATCGAACTATACCCTGGTAGAAATTAACATTTACCTACATTCAGACAACGTTAGAAATTTGTATAATAATTTGTTATACTGATAATGTTGTTTGAGTGTATGATTTTAAGTAGGAAATACGTAGTTGAAACGTTGGATGAAAACGTTATTAGAAGGTATGATTTTAAATGGGAAATACGTAGCTAAAACGTTGTCTGGGAAACGTTGGGCGGATCTAAACAACGTTTTTAACGTATCCAACTACTTTATACATTTCTAAGTTCCAACTAAGTAAACATTTTTAATGCGGATTTTTTTTGTAATTTTTATCCTTTATAATACATTAGTTATAAAAGTAAAATAAAACTATGCAATACAATACCGAGTAAATTACCTAGTTATAAAAGTAAAATCAATCAATCAATCAATCTTCAATAAAGTCATACGACCAAAATACACAAAACCCACTTATAAACTACGTAATTGTATTGTAACAACGTTTCCAAAACCCACATTTAGCTACATAAAATTAATTTAAGTCCCGTCGACAAATTTTTTAATGTGGATTTTTTTTAAATTTTTATCCTTCATAAGACATTAGTTACATATAAAAGTAAAATAAAACTCTGCTATAAATTTATAAAGGTCAAAAAATTAAAAATACGGCCGAAATTGGAAAATTGTAATAACGCGTTCAAAACCTAAAAACATAAATAAATAAAGCCCAAAAATATTCTTTATCAATAGTTTCAATAAAATAAAATTTTACCAAGTATCGTAGTTTTGTGATATATAGAAAACAGGGGGTTACACGGAACAAACGAGCAAAAATTCGATAAGTGTTTATTTTATTATTTAGGTTAGTGTTGTATGTTCTGTGTGTTGACCAAATTTTGTGCAAATTCTGCCCAGTGTTTTTTGGGAAAATATCCTAGTTGAAAGATAAGGTAATTTTTATCCGATAGAGATGGCAAATAACATAAAAGGCAAATACAAATACCTATATGCATGGCATATATGCACAATACATTTATTTATAATACATAACCTAAACAATTTGTTTTCTCAAGTTTTTTTTAACTGTTTTTAGAAACGATGCCTAGAAAACATAAACATGTTCCTAGAACGGTGTATCAAAGAAATTTTAGTCACAAATTTAATTTAGGCATGAGCGATCTTTCGAGCGAGTGCTTAATTAAATGAGTGCCTAGAAAAGTTTATAAACGAGTTGCATACTTACTTACTATACTTTTTCTACGACAAATACTTATTATTATCTAAAAATGATTTAAAATTTTGTATAAAGCGACATCTATAAAAAATAGAGTAACTAGCGTAACAATTTCTAAACTTGGAAATCTGTATTACCGGCACGCCAGTCAAAATGTCAAATTTGCATGTGTAAATCGAAATTTATCAATTGAAAATTGACTAACAACCGTTTATATAATGATATAGAAGCAGTTTTTTACAGTAAAAGTAAAGAGAAAGTTTTATATGTTTTATGGGCACTTCACGGTGGAGTCTCCACTCAAAATTTGTAATGCTTTTAGTTAAATCTAGTTTACTGCCGGCAAAATCAAAAGGTCAGTACAAACTTGCATATAAACTTTTCAAATAGGTATTGGCGTTAAGAAACTATTTTATACTTTTTATTTTTGTATTAAGGTAATAAAATAATTTCCACATTATTATTTTACAAGAAGGGCATTTTATTTTAACGATTGTGTGACATTTTTCAAATGTCAATTAACTAACTAACTAAAATTTCCCTAAACAAAATCATTTTACAACTATGAGTTGAAATCCCTGACCTAGCAGCCAAAGGATTCCTTACATTGCATTGAATTTTAAGGTTTAAATAAAAAATAAAATGCATAACAATAAATCATTTGAATAATCAATTTGTCAATGTTAAAAAAATAATCCCACACGTTTTTGTTTAGAGTTCGTGTAGCATGCTTCCTATTGCTGTTCAGTCGTTCAGTACTTAGCACATACTAAGCATTTAGGTAGCATCAGGAACTTGATGACAACCGAGCGGTACTTTTCCTGCTTCAATTATCGTAGACACAAACAACGTATCCTGCATAATAAACATTGTCTATAAAAAGTACAAATGAATTCTATATTTTAAGAAAAGACAAAAACAATTAATTAAATGTATATCTGAACATTAAGTCTATAAACTTCCTGTTAAACTTATCGAGTGGCCACTGCGTCCTACAACAACGATTCGATATCTAGTGAGTCACGCAGCAAAATGTGTTGTTATCTTATAAATAAGGCTTCTATCTATATTTACGGCGAAAACTGTGGGGAGTAACCGATATTTTCCTCCTTTGGGAAATTTTAATTTTCGGGATTGTTCAGGGTCATCTCGGGTCAAATTTAAGAAATAGTGTATAGTTTCGAATTAAAGTTATTAGGAATTTAAGTTTAAAAAACTCGGCAAAGCTGTGTGTCTTATATATACAGGGTGTTAGAGCATGAATGGTAAAAAATGTAGGGGTCGTAGGCCACGCCAAGACGAGCATTTTTTGTCCTGGGAAAATGTGCCCTAAACAGCTTAAATTTTTTGCATCAGGGTTTTAAAAAAGTAATTTATAGAGTGTGTTGGTAGGATATAAAAGTATATATTTTAGTTAAAAAGAGAAAAATAATTTTTTTGAAAATTTCCGGAGATCGTTGATTTTTCAAAACTAAAATCTGGGGACACATTGTTATTTCTTAGGGGCCGTTCAAGTATTACGTAAGCACTATAGGAGGGTGGGGGGGTCTTTGCTTTGCTTATTTTTGATGACATGGGGGGTGGGGGGTCTAGATGGTGATTACGTCAGCAGTAGTTATTTACTTTTTTACACATATGGCAACCCACACATTGTCTATGCTTAAAAACAAAAAGACCAATGTTTACGTAAGCATTGGAGGGGGGTAAGAGCTTTGATTACTTTTGCTGACAATGGGGAGGGGGGGG